TTTTTAATGTTTACTCGATCATTCTGCAACTTATACTGCGATTATCTTATTGAAATTTGGCACAGATATAAAAACAGTACACATGGGATAAAATTCATCCCCGAGAAATGTCCGGTTCCCGAGGGATACGTGACTTTTTGTAATTTATATAGTTTGTATGTTTTCTAATGCCACGCGGACGAAGTCGCGGGCAACAACTCGTTAGTGATATTACTATATTTTACTCTTTAGTATCAGTTTATTAAACAATACGGTCGTGGACATTTACATCACTGGATGATCTTAAATTATAGAGACTCTGGTTTCCTGAACTATAACTTGGACTTCGGAATACCGCTGCATGTCTGCAGGATTTACATATAGCGTAAAGCGGTCTCGACGATCAGATGCAGTCGCAGTTTAACGGTGTTCAATGCTGAATGCGACTATTTATACGCAGCCTCTAACGGCCGCGCGATTTATCTATCGTCCTAATGAGAGTACTACTGCTTATCGCGCAGTAAAATAAATAAAACAGTTTCACATAGACACACACTTTTTTCTTGGGAAAGTAGATGACATTTTATCCGTTTGCATTAGGAACACTAAGCGTCCTCTGTACCCCATCATCCGCGATATCTAAAGTCTGATACAATAAGTGAGCCACTCACGCAACTGCCTAAGAATCGCTTTATGGCAAATTAAAAACAAGAATTCGTAAGAGGCAAGCGACGAGTCAAGTTGTATAGTCACCCAACAGCTTTACTTTTTGCTAATTGAAATAACTGAGTACCGTTATTTGTATCTTATAGCAAGTGCTACTGAAACGACGTCCACGATCCCAAACCTGTCATTTTATATCATCCGTTGAAAATACGTTAATAAAAATGAGATTAAATTTTAAATCCAAAAATTAAAACTTGCTTCAAGACAGCCTGTTTGGTTTTTTAATTTTCATAATTGAATATAAATGTTTTATTCCAGATATTTGCTATCGACTAAAGAGTAATACATATTCTTCAGAAAGAAAGTAAAACAGGTTTTTGAAATGCTTTGTGGTAAATTAAAACGCGTTGATGTCTTTTGTATAAGCATATTTATGTCAACGTTCTTTTAATTCAATCTCAAAATTTAAAGCTGTATCCGGTCTGTATGCCTGTAGCTTTATACCAATTATGATTTTAAAATTATTGCTTACAGTTCATAAATTAAACAAAAAAAGACTGGCATTTTTTATTAGAAAAGACATAAACATATGTCATACTTTTCAACAAGCAATTACCGCCTGGTCGAAATGTCGATAAACGATGACCAAAGTCGTAAGTTAAAAGCTCGCGCCTCTACTGATGCTAATTTACGAACTGGCAGTGTGTGCGACAGCGGCGTCGACGGCGGCAGCGGCAGCGGTGCTGATATCGACGGGCAGGAGACAATAAATCCGGTTCTGAGTGCAGCGGGCGGGTTGCAATTAAACTAGTGTCGCGACGAGTTCGCGACCGTGCGAAAGTGAAGCGGCGGGGAGGGCCGCTGGCGCGCGGAGCGCGGGCGGGAGGGCGGAGGGCCGACAGAACTGCACACGGTGACTCCAGTCAGTGCGCTGACGCCGGCGCATACGCACGCGCCGCGAGCCGCGAGTACAATATTGAGATGTCGTGCTAGCGCGGCGCGCCCCCATGGTGTACCCCGAAGCCTCCCGCTGGGGCGCGCCCGACGCGATAGCGCCCCTCTACGATGACGTCTACCGAGGTCAGACGATTTGCAAAACCTACCCGCCGCGAATTTTAACCTCCTTTGTTTCTGTGCTCTGAAACCGCTACACGTTGCAACCTGCAAGGACAACTTTAGGGTAATATATGACCTATTGGATTTTAACAAAACGCACATAAGCTTTAGGAGTATTTTACCCTAAAACTTCTTGCAAGTTGTGCCGCGTAATGGCAGACACACTCCGAGCTTAAAGCTCAGCTGTAGTATTTGTATACCAGTTTTCCCGTTGCCACAAACGGCTATCTGTTTATGAAATGATATATTTAAGGAAACTTACAAAGAGACCAATAAATGCTATTGATTGCCCTAAATGAAATATTTTAATCTCACCATTGTCAAAATGAAACGCATTTTACTTAATGAATATACAAATTTATTGCTATAATTCGTCTGACGTGAAATGTGCGAATCGGGTTTACGTTTTTTTATTAATCTTGGGTCTTTGACCTCCATTATCAGACTGTCATGAGAGATACAAAAAACAAAGACAGCGGTACCTGTCGGCTAGTGTTTTCGACGTTTTATTTTAATAACCACTTTTCGATAACATTTTGTTGTTATTCGCAGTTTCATTGTGTTAATTTAAAATGTTAGTTAACAATCAGTTTTCTATTAGTAAACTTTTTTGTTATAATTCAGATCAGCTGATCTGTGAGATCACTGAGACGTAAGGAAGCTTAATAAGCCATACTTTAAAATATAACGAAATTGAACTATTAAATAATTAAATCTGAGGTCTTTGTGCTTCGCGCATGCGAATACGTTTGTGCGCGACTCGAGTGACTCATCTTTATGGATTCGCATCTCGACTGTTTATTTATATTTATGTCTAGATATCTCAAAGCGCTGGTCTTTTTTGAAGCTTTAAACAAATGTATGCATATCAACCTTCTTGCGTTCAACATAAGGAGATTCATATGCATAACTTTTAAGTAGACAGAGAAGAACTTGGCTTAGGGATTAAAGTCCTTTAAGTGAGGTCATCAATAGAAATAACGAAGGTTGTCTTCTACAATGACACACAAAAACGATAAGTTAATTAAGAATGTAAAGAATCAAAAAATATGAAGAAAGGGCTTTTACATTAGGTTAAGGCCGAAAATAAACCCACGGAAAAAGTTAGTGATTTTCAGAAAAAAAAATCTAAATTTTAATAGACACTTAAGAACTGCGTATTTTATACAGATAACATTATGATTCAGTACATTAAATCTCAATCAAAACGTGCTCGGATGGTGAGCATCGAAGGCCGAATATTTTCGAATAATATTAAAGTTAATGCGAACAAAGAGCGGTAGCCAACATACATAAAATATCTTATATTTCGTCTTCATATTTGAAAACATAAAACAACTGATTATTATTTTCTATATCACTACTGTATAGAATTAACTACAGCTATATATTTAGAAATACATAAAAAATAACGTAGAACTTTTTCAGTTCGAAAACCTTATCCGAGTATCTAAGATCCGAGATCGTTATAATTCAATCGCAGATTACCCACCATCTAACACCCACAACAACAAACAGTTGGTAAATTCCGGATCATGTGAATAGATCATATTTCGTCATGATCACATTTTCGAAACGTTATCCCAGCAATGACGCGGCCGCCCACAGAACATCGTTTTTTAAACGTCTCGTTCCAATTTCAAATTCCATTTAACTATGTTGCCATTTTAATACATAGATGTCTACCGATTTATAAATGACAGATAATACTGTAATTTACGATTTAATTAAGTTGCTCTGATTGTCGAAATTGTAGTAAAATACGAAAGAAACTACAGAAATATGTCTATTTCAAGATGACTTGAAGTAAATTACCTCATGCCATGATGACTAATATTACCTGAGCTTACATATTTACATAAATAAAATAAATGACGTGCAAATCGACGATAAAATTAAACAGTAGTTTGCATCCTTTATTCGACTACTGTCGTGTCTGCAGCTTTTGTTTATTTGAAATGATAAACAGATCTTTTAGTAAGTTACATTCATTTGTTTTATTCAAATTGTTTTAAAAAGAAAACATTGAACATGAATGAAATCATTTTTTATCTTTATTTGAAACGACTTGTTCCTGTGCGGCTTCATTCGGGTGAAATTAAAGAATCTTTATTATTTACATTTGTCAAATTCTCAATTGCAAATGTCAAAATGACCGTTACCATAATAATCTAGCTTTTTTATGTTGGCAGCTTGTAGTTTATGGTCCCTTTTCCAAATGAAGGTTTTTTCCAATTTCCTCCCTAAGTTAATTGCGTTAAAACATATAGCCTAAAGCGTGTCGTAAGCGTAGGGCTTTTAATTAAAGAAAGATTTATTCAAAAAACATGCTGTGAATGCTCACATTCAGTACCACGATGTAGTATGTGTTTTCGCTTTATCATATTAGTATAGAAGTACAGATAGTATAGACATCCTGCTACTGTCTATTCTGGATGTAAACACATGTTAGTTTTCAAAGTAATGTGATATTGCTATGATTCATTATGTAGTTATTTTTCACACATATTGTAGCGTATTTTCCGATCTTCCGGCCAAAATCGTCAGTTTATATTCGGAACGCATTCGGCATGCTTTTGTCGTCGCGAAACGTGTGACGAATGTAAATTATTATCGATTACATGCAGCGGAAACTGACTGTGAACGATAACGCTTTGAAGTTGAGGCTCTATCAAGAACATTTGCGTTACAGTTACGAGAACTTTTCGTAACCTGATCGACATTTTTATGAGATTTGTTGATGTACTTACATTCGGAAGGAGTGATTCAAATCGAATTTTCGTGATAAGCGCTTTGTTTATGTCATTAATCTTTTAGGACCATGGTATACGTGAAAACTATTCGCTTAATTTTAAAACGACCTCAATTCATAAATATATGTGCTTAAATAAATTATTTAATATGTTATATGTAAAGAATTTCCTTTCAAACGGTTTATTTACTGAGAAAACTTTTCATTTAGTTAATAAATTGTGTCTGGTAATATTAAATGACTAGCTTCTACGAAGTTTCAGGCTTGACCATACATGTACAGTAACTCAAACGGTTGTTTTATTGTTTATTGAGAACCACGTCCGAGATTTAGAACTCAATTGAGGCTTGAAAATTGAACTGTCTTAGGGTAATCACATTGCCTCTCGCTTTGCTCGTCGGTTCACAATTGACGTTAAATTCCCGTATTGGTAGGAAATTACCGCATATCTTTAAATGGTCGTATTACACACCGTTTGCTCGACCTAACGGTGTCATTTGAATGGTAATACCGACTCTAAATAGACTTCCTTCTGATGTTTATTAGTTTTTTATGTGAGCTAAGATGTAATGTTAAATAACACTAAAGATTTGCATAATATTAAATATTTTATAGAACGCTATTAAAATAATTTTAGAAAACTACTATATTTACGTACTGAACAAGTTTTGATATGAAAAATAATCTATTGATTGTTTATTATAAAGTTAGTTTTTATATTTACAATTTAAAATAAATATTGTTTTTACTGTATGGAAAATAAATGTTATAATTACATTGCTCAAGTCCATTTAATCAGTCACTAGTATCAAGTAATTTAGTAAAAATTTTATGTTACTATGCAATTTTTAATACAATTTCATGTTATATACCATTTATAGGAATAGAATTGCATCGACGTAAACACGTTCGACAAAACAGCCGAGCGTTCTAAGTTGAAAATTTTCCTCGTTCATATTGCACATTAATCCGCGTCTCACAAAATGGGTCTTAAATAAATTTATGGCACGTCGCTCTGAGCGCTGCTACTTTAGTTGTCGCCGCAGACGGAGGGCACCGTTAGTAGGTGCACTGTGCATTACACAGAACATTCACACATTCGATATGACACAATGCTATATAACGTCAATTTTCTTTGAAACACCAGTAATAAGACATATCGTGGGATTGTTCCCAACCGCCACCCCGCTCTGTCCTCACGTGGGGATAGATTAGAATAAAAAGTTTCATCCATCCTATCTTTTAGTCCCACTATCACCAATTAGATGACGACCAAACAGATCGAAACGTTAAGAAATAAAATAAATTCACTTACACATATGCATTTACTTTCTGCATAAACAAGTAATCGATTTTTTTTTTCAAATCTCATGTCATTGACATAAAGAAAAAGCAAGTAAAGTGATATCTTTTATTTTAATACTTGTAACATGTAAGTGGCGTCGGCTATTTATAGCGATTCCGACCGCATCGGCCGCGCGGGTAGTGCTGGAGCGTGCATATTTTTACACAACATGAAATTTCACGCTTGTCAACCTGTCCTTTAGTTTGCATACATTACATTGATAAGGCATTTACATTTATTTTTCTCGCAAGTTTTTATCCAGCTTTTATTGATTCAGAATCGTATCATGGATATTTAGTACCTCAATGTGGATTTCTCATATATTTTATATCTATACTATCTATACTCTTATAATAAAGCGTAAACACACACTTCTTTGTTGCCTAAGATGTCAGCAATCACAGCATATTTTCGAACAACTCTTTTTTTAATAAAAAGCCCTGCACTTATACGTCACGCTTTAGGCTATATATTTTCACGCTATTAAACTTAGGGGGTAAATATTTCGGATGATCATATCGTCATTTTGACATATGCTATTGACAATTCGACAAATGTAAACAATAAAATAAAATTTTATAAAGATAATAGATTTTTATCTTTGGATTTTGTATGTATTTGATTCACGTAAAAAGTACTGGACCGATTTTAAAAATTCTTTCCCCATTACAAAAGTATTCTATCTGTGAGTGACATAGGCTATGTTTTTTATTATTTCTCAGTCTGAGATAAGCTGGCAGGTTGATAGTATTTCATATAAGGAGGTAATATTTTATTATTTCTTTCCAAGTGAATGGAGCTTTCGCATGGAACCTGTTTAGTTCCTAGTTCCGTGAATCTAGAAAGTGTCGTTTCGCGCTCGAGAGAAATTAGATTGCTGTGGTGAGGAATGCTGTTTGATTTATCAGTTTCTAATTAATATTGTAAAACACTAATGACCACGGTAGCTTGTAATCTAAGGTAATTTCTAATCCATCAACACGCAGGCGTCAAATGAACATAAAGTAAACTGATTTCTAAATTAAGCTACTTAATTTATCTGTGAAAAAAAACTATGTTTCGATTTCAGGCCGTATTAATTAGTCAATAGTTGGATATGGGCCAAAGATAGTGCTTTGGCCCGTGGCTACGTTGTCTTGAAATAAAAAACACAAGAACGTAGTCTATGTGTTCTTCCAGACCATCCAAATTTATTACCAAATTTATTCGCTACCCGTTCAGCAGTTTAGACTACACACTCTAACAAACATCCATCCATCTAAACTTTCGCATTTAAATTTTAGTAATATTGAGACTTATTAGATCCTACATAAAGTCTATAATCAATTAATATAAAACAACTTGTTAAAATCCCGACTATCTCAGCTGAAACTTTGAACGTTTGTAGCAAAACACTTGGAGATTTCACTTGCTAAGTTCACTGGTCGGGAGCACGTAATATCGCGTCTAACTTTCTTTGTATAGCCTCGTTACGTGTTTCAGAACGATTTCGTTTGATTAGATATCAGATTGGAGGCAAATTGATTAAACTTCTCGAGCCAATTTAATCGAACTCACTACAGGTTTATTTGACGTTCCAAATATATCATGTTGATTTTAAAATAAGACAGCAGTGTAAAATGATTCCCATTTCGGGTATGTTTTCCCAAATGTTTGTCTACAACAACATAATTTAGACCATAGTATTTTATTGTTCGTGTTTAAAATTTAGTTTTAAGGTTACAAAAACGAATATGTAGAGGTTTCGCGATTCAACAATCTATTAACGAATTATTCTAGAAAATTACCATCGGGTCAAAGAATACGCTTAGAAGTTTGATCTTTGTCACGACAAATATTATTTGTGATGACAAGCAAGTTGCGATAATTGATGAATTAGTGTCAAAGAGCACGCTCAAATGTATTTAAATTGACGTGTCTAAATCAACTAACATTTTTTGTATGTTGAAGTGTTACATCCGTGTTACTTTGAGAACGTGCGCACACATGATACAAAACTATCACACATCTGTTCAGACTCGCTTTGATTCCTATGAGATTTTGGAGTTGCGCCCACTCGATTATTAGTTGTGCAACTAAACAGTTGAATTGGCTGCGAAACAATCGACAATCGCACAATTACGAGACAGTTAAGTCAAAGTTATGCGCCGGCTCTAAATGTTACATAGTGTTAAACAATTCTCTATATTTCTTCAAGTACATGTAATTTCGGTCAATGTAAGAGAAATCAGTGGAAACGAAAAGATTATTCTAACCGTGTATTTTTTTTAGGTAAGGACATTGATCAAATTTGTACCATTACAAACAAAAAAATAATTCCCAAATTGAATATCTCTTGGACGTATTAAAACCTTCCAAATGAGTCAGCATGACGAAGCACTTTTCCAAGTATTTTCGGTATTCATTTCGCACAAAGCTATTTGCGGATACCAATTTCTTATTAAAAGCTTTTATTGCGTTTATTTTTCTTACACGAGTATTAATAGAGAAATTTTCCAATTATTGATACAAAATTGCTACAAATTTTCTTTTTTACTAGCTCTAATGTTGTTGTTTATTAGATTTCATATATTTATATTTAAAATAAAAGTCCTAATTATTCTATTATTTAATTATTGATTTTAAGAGTTTAAGAAATCGTTTAACTTTTTGTTTTCTTTTTAATAATTACTATAGTTTAATAGTACTCAGGGTCATCGTAACCTCATTGGTCAGACAATTTCATTCTTAAATGATACAACCGAAAATGGTAAGTTACGTATTGAGTTTATGACCACGGTCAAGGTTTATTACCGAGTATCCGAAATACTACTTAAATATTTAAAGCACTCACCTTCAATGAGAACAACGGCTACGGATACAGTGATAAACTGAAGCGGAATTATAAGCGACTAGCTGTCCCCGTGCTTCATTCGCATGAAATTATGAAAATTTTATTTTATTGTTTACATTTGTCAAATTATCAATAGCAAATGTCAAAATGACATGACATGACAAACCTTGGCAATCTTGCTTCCTTGATGTTGGCAGCAACTTATGGTCTCTTTCCCACATTAGGGTTTTTATCCAAAATATTTACCCCTATGTAAAAACATATAGCCTAAATCGTGACGTAAGTGTAGGACTTTATATTAAAAAAAGTTTTTATTGAAACTGATAAATTACAACATTGTGTTTCATATTTATAGTAAAAGTGTAAATAAATCAAAGTAGAGTAAACTTTACAAAGCCGATATTCATTTATTTTAAATAAAATATTACATTTCTCGTATCTCGTTTGATGTAACCGTATGCCCTGGAGACAATGATAGCTTTAACAAAAGGTCTTTTTTATTTTACTAACGTTGAAAAAATGCCTGAATTCGACTGTTTCAATTCTTTTGTTGCTCTTATTACGTATGTATATAATTTTATATCCCAGACTTCTAACTTACATCATTTGTTCAGCATATTTTTCTAATTCCATTAACATTTGTATGAAATCTCTTATGAAAGTAACTTATAAAACAGACTTGCGTAAAGTTAAGAGAAATGTACGCTTAATTCAAAACGAGGGTAAATAACTTAAAAAAATCTTTTATGTTTAAAGTAAATACGTGCTTCGTAAATACAAAGATTAAAACATATTTTCTTCAGCAGAATTTTCTTTTCTAAACTTCTACGTTTGAAACGAGAACAAAGAAATTTTACAGCTCCTAGTGTACATTTTTCCTTTGCTTTTTATAAACGAATCTAAACTTGTTAAGGGTTAAACATTTTCCAAGTTAAAATGTTATAAAATTTCATCTTAAAACACTAAATAAGAAAGGAATTAAATTCTTATAAAATCATCATCATCAGCTCGTAATACAACCTCACTGTGGGGCTCAGAGCTTACCCTAAGTTAGAGGTGACTTGCCCATACTCAAACACGATGGCTGTGGATTGACTTCAAACATATCTTTGAATATCTTTGCAAAAGAATGTCGGATAAATTCGGTTATCAAAAACACATTAGTATATTGGCTGGATTCGAACCATGGTCCTGCATATTACAAATGCTTAACCTCTGAGTCGAACATATACTAGCACCTAAAACTTTCATCACATAAGCTTATAAAAATACTCTACGACGTAGAAATAAAATACGTTATCCACTCGACATCTCTATCTCTTTTCCACTCGACAAAATTACTTCCGAACTTTCCGTTGGAAAGGAAGCACTTATTTTTTATATTCTTTTTACTTGTAGGCTTTCAGCGTTACGTCTTTTATATGTGAATTCTTCAGAAATATAATTTAGGTTGTTCGTACCAGGTGAATTATGTAACTGCATAATATAAAGACAAAGCGAAACTCTTTCGTCGACATTAAATAATTAGTGCAACTAAAACTGGCAATTGAATTAAGTAAATCTTAATAAAGATGCATCAAATCATTTAAAATATCTTCATCGATGATTTTAATGCTGAAGCTCCATCCTCTTAATCTTTAATCACAATATATACTTTGAGAATTAAGTTAATACAGTGTGTATGTGTGTTTATCGCAGACGGCGTGATATCGACGGTGAACGTGGTGGAGGCGCTACAAGAGTTCTGGCAGGCGAAAGCGTCGCGGAGTGCGGGCGGCGCGGGGGGCGCGGCGGCCGGCGCCCTCGTCATTTACGAGTCAGTACCCGCCGCACACCCGCCCTACGTTTGCTATGTCACGCTGCCCGGCGGCGCGTGCTTCGGAAGTTTTCAGGTACACACCTGTAACAGCTTCTACACAATTTAATCCTAATATTAAATCAGTATTTCTATGGATATTATAACCAATATCTCCGTGACAGAATTGCCCTACAAAAGCTGAGGCGCGGCGGAGCGCAGCGAAGATAGCGCTGATGAACAGCGTGTTCAATGACCACGAGTCACGGCTGATCTCCGACCACTTCATAGAGAAGGCGGTGGCGGAGGCACGCGCCTCTTTTGCCGGCGCCGGCGCCGGGGACAATGCACACAGTCAGGATACTAACGCCGGCATCGCAGCATTCAGGTTAGCTTCTACTATTAACAAACATAGAAAATCTGCTGATGATGATTGGATGCATTGTGATTTAGGAATACGTTTACTGCTAGATTTTTTTAACATTTGTGATATTAAAGTGATATACCTATGAATGTAACAGTATAAGTAATAATTGTACAGATTCATGCTGGAGGCGAACAAGGGGCGCACGATGCTGGAGTTCCAGGAGCTGATGACGGTTTTCCAGCTGCTGCACTGGAACGGCTCACTGCGGGCGATGCGCGAGCGCCAGTGCTCGCGGCAGGAGGTCGTCGCCCATTACTCGGCGCGCGCGCTCGACGACGCCATGCGCGAGCAGATGGCGCTGGAGTGGGCCGCCAAGGAACGGGACTCTATCGCCGCGGGAACTGGCGGAGTGTTACGAGGGGAACTCGCCAGGTATGTAAAACAGTCCTTACTCTTACTACAGTCTAGTTAGGCAACTGGCTTGGTAACGTAGAATTAACCTTGGCTAGATCTAATAACTAACTCCGAATCACCATTAGGATTGTAGATAGATAGGTATTTTTTCTAGGATAAGAAGAAAAACCAGTAGGTCTGATAGACATTTTTATTCAACATAGTAACTATGGAGTATTGCAATAAATCAAGTGTTATAATGGTAGGATTACACTAATCTGTAAATATTTTACAATTTAATTTTCCGTTGTCTGTTAGCCTAATTAAAATTTATCAATTTCGCACGCAAACTCCGGCACCCGGATAAAGATGCGGGTTTCTAACCGGGCGTGCTTTGAATAGCAAAATTGTTATTAATACGTGCCAATTTATTTTACATCGTATTAAATAAAATTCATTGCGTAATTTTGCATAACTTAGCAATTTGTCTCGCGATTTGTTAGATAAATCACAGAATAGGTTATTAGATATTTAATTCAGGTATGAACTTAGATTTATACTTTACAGAATAGCAAGTAGAATAAATCCCAAATTAATTTGACCATATAATCTAAAACTCTTGAGTTCACATAGAAATATATTACGTATTTTAATAGGCAATCTTTAAAATCGCATAAGCTCTCAGTGATGAGAAAAATCTATGAAAAGTGTGTTATGCGTAATTAGGGCAGAGCGGGAGTTACGCGCGGCTCGGCTGGCAGCACGCGAGCTGCGCTTCCCAAAGGAGAAGCGCGATATTCTGGTGCTGGCCGCGCGCGTGGCGCCCCCGCAGCCGCCGCAGTGATCTCACCACGCCACCCGCGATACTAGCGCCACCGGCTCCAATCAGCATCTCAGTCGCGTTCTACCATCGACTTTTACTTTTACATTAACACTGTTATTTAAGTATAGTTTTATAGTGTAAGAATTTTTGTTGTTTCATTTCTTATCCTTATTATCTACCCTAATAGAGCATAACTACTAATGTGCTCGATTAAAATCACATTGATCCAAATTTAGATGTTTTAAAGACGGATATTGTTCCATATTGCTAATTTACATAACCCTGCTGAAAACCGAATCACGATCAATACCCATAGAGAAAGTTTTTTTCGCACGCGTTCTTTCATTATCCCCTTGTACCTACTTATCCCATTCTATGTGAGTTCGGCACCAGGGTTTTGTCGTCTTTTAAGTAAATCACCTTTCACGCAATTCCATCTCTTACGCCTACCCTTACCGATGTACCCTTCCAAATTTATATTTAAAGTTTATCCCTAAGTATGTGTAATTTTTAAAAATAGCGTAAGTTATTATAAATAAAGAACTATGAATATACAAAAAGTATGTGAATTTATTTATAACCTTATCCGGTTTGTAGGCAATGATATACAAAACGTCTGAAGACGATGAAACAAAAGAAAGTTTAAAGCTAACCTAAAGACTCTCAAACTGTCGTTTACAAACATAATACGAAATCACGTATGACCTATTTTTGGCAGTTAACTAAATGACTATTAAAACAAGTTAATAAAATTGAAAATATTGCACACCAAGAATATATCAAAATTCAAAAATATAGGTCGAAATATACATTACTAGTTTTCGCCCGGAGCTCCGTCCGCATGGAATTAAAAAAACAAAAGTAAGTAGCCTGTGTATTCTTCCAGACTATCCTCTACATCTATGCCTTTCAGCAGTTAAGGCTACAAACTTTTTAATAACGTAAGGTGGCAAACGAGCAAGCGGCCACCTGAATAAGCCGAAATGGCGAAGCGACCTCTACCCATAGATATCTGCAATTGCAGACGCGTTGCCTACCCTTAATTGACAGATGAGGAGACGCACATAAACAGAATGTTTCTCCTTGCTGTGCGTCTCCTCCGCTGTCCCATCCTTTCCTCATGAGAAAAAGGTGGAAAGGAAATGGGTATAAAATTAGGCCAGGGACTAAACTCTAACATTTCCATCCATCCGTCTAAACTTTTGCATTAATAATATCAGTAAGAAAAAATGTATTTAAAGACGTCGCAAATATGTATGTAATAAAGGTTTGGGAATCAAAGTAAACTCGCTTCGCTGGTAAAAAGTCGACTCATCAATATGCGATTTAAGATCAGGTACTCGTAACTGTTTTACATAAGAAGCGTAATACACGAGATCGTCTCGTATAAAAACAAACTTTGATGTGAAAAATTTTACGACAAACAATTCCATTCCATCAATCATCAATATTATAATAAAGCGTAAACACACAATTCTTTGTTGCCTAAGATGTTAGCGATTACAACATATTTTTGAATTATTGTTTTTTTAATGAAAAGCCCTACACTTACGTCACGCTTAAGGCTATATATTTTCACGCCATTAAACTTAGAAGGTAAATATTTTGGATAAAAACCCTAATGTGGGAAGGAGACCATAAGTTGCTGCCAACATCAAGGAAGCAAGATTGCCAACTTTTGTCATGTCATGTCATTTTGACATGTGTAAACAATAAAATAAGATTGTCATAATTTTATGCGTATGAAGCCGCACGTGAACAGCTATCACTCATATTTGGGACACAGTCGCTTCAGATTGAACTTATGTTACAAATTATTTTTTCTTTCTTTATCTCATTTAAAACAAAGTTATTTACGTTAACTTACATATTTTTTCATATCGATAAAACGGTCGTGGAGTTAGAAGATCAAAGGTTCAATTCGGGTTAGGGTAAGTTTATTTCATGGTTATGAAATTGGATTAATATTCTAAGATATCTAATATCCAAGCTTCTGTTTTAACCTTATTATTTACTGTATTTAAATTACGATTAATTTCAATTTTCTTTTAATTTTAGTATCTAGTAATATCCAGTTTTAGTATTTCTACTTTGTATCGATGCTATAAAAGAATATTTAGCTAACAAGCCATTCTTAACATGCCCTTGTCCCTATTTAAGTACAGTATGTACTCTTCCATACATTTATCAGTCGAATCTGCATTCAGTCCCTTAAGCATACATTGATTAGTTGATTATAAATTTCTTAACTAGAAAATTGTATGTCTTTACAAAAACCATTATATCCAATAGGATGGATAGTCAACACCTCTTTAAATATTAACTAGCGTGTTGGCACGGGCGGTGTTGTCCATTGACGCGGCGTGTGTGAACAGGTGCGCTTCCGGAAGCCGCCGGCGCAGACTGTATTGACACACACCTGCCCCCCCCCCCTTTCTTTCACAAACCTCACCCCCTCAATCACTTTTACCAAACCGACCCTCATTTATTTTCTATTGTCTCTTGTAAACTAAGATATTCAACATAGTAATAGAAAGAGCAACATGAACAGAAACGATATTTGCTTACTTTCATTTGGCGATATTGTTTAATTTGATAAAGCTGCATATTAAATTGCATTTGTTTTACTAATTGGGGAAGATTGGATTAAAAATGAAAATATTTTTTACCAATAAAGTATGTAATATTAATACTATTATAATAAAGTGTAAACACACACTTCTCTGTTGCCTAAGATCTCAGTAATTACAGCATATTTTTGAATAACTCTTTTTTAATAAAAAGCCCTACACTTACGTCACGCTTTAGGCTATATATTTTCACGCCATTAAACTAAGGGGTAAATATTTTGGATAAAAACCCTAATATGGGAAAGAGACCATAAGTTGCTGCCAACATCAAGGAAGCAAGATTGCCATAGTAAGGTAATTGGTATTTTGACATTTGCAATTGAGAATTTGACAAACAAACAATAAGTTTCTAATTTCGTGCGGGTGAAGCCGCCCGCGAACAGCTAGTTATTTATAATATTATAGCGAGGGAACGGACGATATTTTCAAGAAAGAACCCTAAATTTAAGAGTTTTACACTTGACCGGCTTATTTTAACAAGCGGTGGTTTACTTTGTTCCGTGCGATTTTAATGAGAGTTTAGTGAGGTGAGTCGCGAAACTAAGGATACCTTGAGAGTCGAGACGGCTCGCGCAATGACCTTGAAGATTCTATTAAATGTAAGATGTCTTCGACCGCCGGCGAATTCTACTTGACTTGATTCATGCTCTTAGATAATAATATAATTTAAAATTGATTGATAAAACAAGAAATACTCTAAGAACTAGACACGAATTATATTTAGATATTTTTAATAGATGATATAACTAGTAAATGTACTTCGTCTATCGAAGTTGACACTTCTAGATAAATTTTTTGCACGCGTAATTTATTTATTATTGTGAAGTAACAGACAAAAACTACTTCCATCTATATAAAGACTGTTTCTATAGTGATCTGAAAATGATTCATTTTTTGCATATTTCATTTTTAATTAGGTGTTTAACATTGTTGTTTAATTACTTGTAAAACTAACATTTACAAGACGAAATGTTTATAATTTTGCAACAAAGTCTAACGCTCGTTTATTTGACCTCGAACACGGGCACAGCAATTAAGAGACAAGACAAGGTGACAACCCTGGGCTATAGCACAAGACAATTGAGCGGCCAATTAGAGCTGCGAATGTGTGCGCTTTCTCCACGTCTCGGCGGCAGGGGGCGCGAGGAGCGCGGGGGGCACGACGGGCACATTAACCCCCAATGTCCGAATCGCATCACCAACAAAAAAGCCCATCAAGGTCCAACAGGAGATTGCAACTGCGATTCCGGAGACAATTTACCAGTTTTTGTTTGAAATTTTAATGCATTTTCAGACGGTCAAAAAAGGACACGATTCTTTATGCGACAGGTTCACTTTTATGGTTTGAGAAAAACGAGCTTTCAAGTTGCCGGGCTTTGTTACTTTTCTACGTTATGTATACGCGTATGTTTAAGTTTGTTACTATTTATATTTAAATATGAAAGCTTTAAAGTTGTCATTGCTAAACTTACAAACCTATAGTTAATTGCTTATAGTGTAGATATTCCAAGGCTAATAAAGACTTTGTTTAAAAGCTTGTGTAGCTAGAGAGTGCTAAGCTCGGAATTTAATTGCTTTTAATAAAATAATTAATATATGCCTATCTCTGTCTGACGACGCTAAGTGAGTCGTACAGATTTTATTTACAATTCCGTGGAAAGTGTAATGGAAATGAGATTGGCTTCGGCGCACAAATTGAGTGTGTTAATCAACGTCTACGGTTTACATTATACGTTCCATTTGATTCACAACAAGCTCGTGTGAATTAACTAAGTTTGTTCGTCTCTCTTAAGTCTAGATGTGGGTTGATTTACTATTTAATCTGCTCAATGATTTAAGATTATGTATATTCATTTATAATAGCTAATATTTAAGAATTAATGAGTATCTAGTGTTAAAATTGAATGTAGATGGCTACAAAGGTAGAGGAAGACTGAAGGTATAGATAGATTGTGTGAAAGAGGACACGCTAGAGAAGGGAGTGGATTCAGATATGACGGCTGCTACAAATGTATGGAAGAGAAGCACATACTGTGCCGACACTCCGTAAGGGCAAGTTGACGATGAATAGCTAATAATATAAAACTAAATTATTGCTAAAGCAACTTGGTTTTTTAGATTTAGTGACAACAAAGTTAAAAAAGTATGAAGTATCTTCACTAATAGACCCTACGACTTATAAATTAAGTTACCGGCCTCACTAACCACTGAGTAATAAGGGCTTCATTAACATGTTTGTACATTAACGCTGTACAAGTAATTTGTCTTGAGTCAACTCAGTATCGGTATAGGCTTTGTGTACACACCTTAATTAACAATGATCAATCGTCGTTGGCCTTCGACGCACGACATCACTAAAAGATTTGAACAAAGTTCGATTCCGAGATGTAACAATGTATTGACGTTGCTACAAGTAAAGCTGTTTGCCAAATATTGTCGTGAGAATCAAAATGGCGGGTGTACCATTGCGAATTACTTTATACCACTTACTAAATGTAGTATTTAGTATCTCGCT